GTATAACCTAAGGAGAAAGTTTGTATTGCCAGAGGTAATAGTTTTCCATGGTAAATGGTAGCAAACGAAAGTGGAATAGTTTTGATACATTATAAAGCTCTGGGGTAGGTGATGTGGTTTTCGGTCTCTCAACTGCTGTTTCAAATTTGCTTATTGGGTTGGGATGAACGGTTGTGGTTGTTATTCTGAGGACGTCATCTTTGTTGTCTATTTCGCCCGCACTGTTGATAAAGCGGCGAGGAGTCTGTGGTACCTTATAGACTAACTGAAGTGTTGGAGCATAAGCTTTCGTGGGCAAAGACCCACTTTGTCAGATGCAATAGTTTTAAATTGATGATACAGTGGGTGATCTTACCTCTGGTAACGATAAGTGGGCTGTGGGTACCTTGAACTCTGGTATGGTTGATATCTTGTTGCAGGTGTTTGGATACCCAGTGAGCGTAGTATAGTTCTGGAATCCTTCATTGACTGAAGTAGTTCATTGGTCTTCATCGAGAAAAGCTTCTCACCTTCAAACGGGAGATCTTCCACTGATGGTTGGAGTTGGTGGGGAAAGGCAGAAGAATGGAACCATGAAGCCTGTCCCATAGTTATCGCTGTGGCTGTTGTCCCTGTGGCTGTATCTGCTGTGTCGAGGGCAGCTTGTAATGCTATATGCAATATTGTTTGCTCTTCAGAGATGATAGTTTTAAATTGTGCCTTTTTATGGTCAGGGATATGTTCAATAAATGTGTTAAACTTCGCATAGTTATTAAGATTGTATTTACTGAGTAACGCCGGTGTAGTTTGCTACTCATTTGAAGTGCAGCCGAGGCATAAACCTTTTTGCTGAATGAGTCCAATCTTTTACTGAAGCAAAATGCAGGACAATGTAGCACTTTAAAGACTAACAAGATGGTTTATTAGATGATGAGCTTTCGTGGGCCAGACCCACTTCCTCAGATCAAATAGTGGAAGAAAATAGTCACAACCATATATACCAAAGGATACAATTAAAAAAAATGAACAAAAATGAAAAGGACAAATCACATTGCAGAACAGAAGGGAGATGCGGGGTGGGGGAGGGGGAGGAAGGAAGGTAAGTGTCTGTGAGTTAATGATATTAGAGGTGGGGAAGGGTAAATGTGATTTGTCCTTTTCATATTTGTTCATTTTTTTTAATTGTATCCTTTGGTATATATGGTTGTGACTACTTTCTTCCACTATTTGATCTGAGGAAGTGGGTCTGGCCCACGAAAGCTCATCATCTAATAAACCATCTTGTTAGTATTTAAAGTGCTACATTGTCCTGCATTTTGCTTCAACTACCCCAGACTAACACGGCTACATTTCTATCACCAATCTGGAGGGGAGCTAGAGCGTTAGTGTGGGAACCTTGAGTCTCGAGGGCCACACTCACGTGAGCTGGGGTATTAGGTTCCTCACCCCTGCTTTAAAAACAAAACCTCTTACTCTTAAAAATCGATCCCCGTATCTCTGGTCGGACCAGCTTCACGCAGGTCCTCGGGGATGGAAAACTGCAGCAAACTGTATGAACAGAAACAAACAGAAGCCCCAATCGCAGCTGGAGGTGGGGCGAGGCTGCCCCAGCAGGGACACAACGGGGCAGCCGCCCCCCACCAGATCAGGAAAACAACCGCGCCATTCCCCGGCCAGCAGGAAGGCGAGTGCCGCTGCAAGGCTCCGCAAGGGAGGTGGGCGGCAGAGGGGTGTTTGTGCGCGGCCGCGCGCCTTCAGCGGCAACTCCCCTGGTGCCCCCTTCTCTAGTCCAGCCAGGCCTAAAATGCTCAGTGCTTAGAAGGCGGGTGGGGAACCTAAGGCCTGGGTGCGTGGGGCTCCTCCACCGTCGCCCCCTCCCCACGCCGTGGGGCTGGAGCGCACAAAGCGACTAGGCTGGGCCCTGCAGTGCTCTGGCGCCAGGGGTTTTTTTAATTGTATCCTTTGGTATATATGGCTGTGACTATTTTCTTCCACTATTTGATCTGAGGAAGTGGGTCTGGCCCACGAAAGCTCATCATCTAATAAACCATCTTGTTAGTCTTTAAAGTCCTACATTGCCCTGCATTTTGCTTCAGCTACCCCAGACTAACAGGGCTACATTTCCATCACCAATCTTTTATTGTCCTTCTCAAATAGAGTGAATCGGTTCGGTTGTTTATTTCTCTGCTGTGCAGCATCCACTATAAGGGAATTAGGCGGAGGGTGTGTAAAAAGAAATTCAGAGCCTTTGGGGGGAACATAATATTTCTGATCTCCCTTTTTTTCATGTAGGTGGGATGGAGGCAGGTGTCTGCCATAAGGTTTTAGCCAGTTAAAGTATGGCTGGATTGAGAGGTAAAGCTATATTTGTGGATGGCGTCGTTTGGAGGATGTTTGTGAGTTCATGATAAGAGTCCTGTACCTCTTCCATGGTGATATTTAAATCCATTGCAACTCTTTTAAAAAGGTCTTGGAAGGAAGAAACATCCTCCACATTGTTAGAGGATGGTGGTAGGATTGCCTCCTCTGTGGCAGAAAGTGAGTTAGCCTGAAGTAAAGTTCCAGAAGACGAATGTGGGGAATATTGATCCTCATTATCATTTCTATCAGTAGGCACTTGAGGTGATTGGGTCAGGGAAGAGAGAGGTTTCACCATATGCTTGGTTTTAAATGGCCTCTTTCTGTTGTTGGGGCCATTGGTTCCACATTTGCCACTTTGGGGGGGTAAATCTGGGTGGAGGCATGCAGGGGTATGGAGCCCAAGGAGCCATTTGTGTTGTGATGAAATCTGATTGTGACATTTCTATCAGTAGGCACTTGAGGTGATTGGGTCAGGGAAGAGAGAGGTTTCACCATATGCTTGGTTTTAAATGGCCTCTTTCTGTTGTTGGGGCCATTGGTTCCACATTTGCCACTTTGGGGGGGTAAATCTGGGTGGAGGCATGCAGGGGTATGGAGCCCAAGGAGCCATTTGTGTTGTGATGAAATCTGATTGTGA